CTCCCCCTCCCCCAGAACATTTGCCACGCGCCACGCCGCCGTCGCGCCGCTAGACGCCAAGACGCCGCCTCCGGTCGGGGGGCGCCCGGACAAAAGCCCGCCCGCCGGGCCGGGAAATGGGTCAGCTCCTGCCGCCGCTCGCGCCCCACCAGCCAAGGTCACGACCGGGCCGGCTCCGGGGAGACGGACTGCCGCCCCACGAGGAGGACGGCACGCGAGCGCGATAGGGATCTGTGTTGTGGCGTTACGCCACCGAGGCGGCGGCTAACGCGAGCTGGTTAGCGACTGCCGCCCCACCCCCTCCACGGAGCCCGTGTGGTAACAGCGCGATATCCGGCGGGGACAAAGCCGCCGGTCTTCGACAGCAGGCGCGCGACGAGGAAGGTGATCTCAGCTGATTGACCCAGTTCTGGCCACCGAGATAATGCCGTCCGTTATGAGAGCGTGCGCGTGTGTCCGTGCGTGAAAGTGTAAACGCGCCGTCACGTCTGGGCGACTCTGGGATGTTGTTTGACGCGACAGCGCTAATGCGGCTTTCTTTTGCCAGCTGTTGCATAACCTGCTGGACGTTGGACTGACACGGGATTCAGAGGTAATGCGCTGTACTTCTCAAGATGAAAAATGCTGCCTTAAGTTTCATGTATATTGCACCCCATGCCCGCCATGATTTTTCACGTCGTGGCCGCCACGAACATAAATTATTCTTTTTCCTGTGCGACTTAAAGCAAAACTTCCAATTTCACACACAGTTTAAACACGAGATCTTTAAGCATTTCACGGCACCTAAAGCACTCTACCCAAAGAAAACTCTACACCATCGTGCTTAAAGGGGAATTTTTTAAAATTTCAATGCCGGTTTCTACCGGCGCAAAAAGCTTACACCAAGATTATACAGAGCCACAGATATGTGCCTGACGAAGGGTCGGTCAAATGATGATTGGCTGATTAAAAACCGCTTACAAATCCAGCGGCTGTGCGAAGGCCAAAGACCACTGGCAGAGGTGGGTGTTGAACGTCAAGGTCGTCCATTAAGAGGAAGAGGATGTGGAATGATAAAAGAACCGCAGACCAATGAACTTTGTTTTCTGAAGCAGAGAGGCACACACGTGGAAACTCTGAAATCTGGGCAGGTCAGCTATTGTGTATGGTTGTGCAAAGACGACCATACACAATAACCGGTGAAGTTTCGACTGATAAAGTGCAAACCACCTCCAAACCGTTTGACAGGAATTCGCCGGTCGGATGTAACCCCCCCCCCCCCCCCCATGTCCTGATGTAGCCCGCGATCGGGCTCTTCCTCCGGCCGCCCTTCTCATCATCCTGCCGTTTGTGTAGTCATCTTCGGCTTGATGAAGCCCGAACGCATGGTCCTGCCGCAGACATCAGCAGCGACGACAATGTCCTCACGTGTGCACGCAGCACTTCATTGAGCTCTGGTTCACATCTGAGCTGTGGGGCTGTCCAATCACCTGCTGCCAGCGCCCCCAGCTGGCCGACCGCCGTCACCATCTCCTCTCCTGCACACACAACGCACGGTCGGCGACAACCAACAGCTGGCCGTGACGTCACGTCACGAGCTCCGGCCCGGCAGGGGATCTGGGCCGGGCGTGTCACGCACGTGACGGATGGGTCTGCGCCCAGCCGGCCATCACGGAGGTCACGTGCCGGCCAGGTCACGCGTGATAGCAGCTGCGCCTCACGACCGCACCACGTGACTAACGCGGCCGCCGGTGGCGCCCCGCGTCGGGCCGCCAGAACGGCGTAACTGACGCCGCACGCTGCGGCTTATACGCCGTTCTGCCGCGCCACGCGCAGGCGTAGCCGCCCTCGCCATCAGCCGGTGGCGCGAAGGTTAGACGTGCAGCCGGAGCCGCCATTACCGGCGGCGGCAGTCGACCGTGCTAATGTGCACGACCGCTATCATAAGTACGGGGTCGGAAAATGGCCCGTGGCCGGCCGGCCGGGCCGTCTTGAGAGGCCCGTCAACAGGCTCGCCGCCTGCAGCGTGCACCCCGCTCACCTTCGGCACCGCTCGCGCGGGTGTGCGCGACCTGGTCCCTGCACTGCACCCTGCGAACGGCGATCTGGGGCTATCGCCACACCTCTCGCTCTGAGTGCCGGTGATCTGATGGAGCGGCGCCTCCACAGCACGTCAAGTGTAACGATGATGCCACCCGTCCGAAGAAACGCGTGTCGGGCAAAACGCGCAGGCTTGCCACCATGCCCAATAAGTGCCCCAGATACGTGCGCCGGACGATGGCGTGTTTATTACGAAAGCGAACATCGATAGCTGTTCAATGACAAAATGAGCGATTGGGTGCCGCCAGTGGCCGACTTTCGGGCCAGATAGATCCCCATCTGTCGTCATTCCACGTGCGCTAATGTTTTGTTCCCAGTCGCGCACGGCGCCCATCACGGGTCGTCCGTATATACCTCACATGCATGCTAAAGAGCAGGGGAAGCGAAAGCATTCATCTGAGCCCGACCACGGCCGCGCACGAGAGAGCGTCGGTGGAATTGATCCGACCCGATCCTTATGCGACATCGAACACAATTCTTCGTGATGCGCAGCATTTTTCGCTGGGGAGGGGGAAGGGAGGGGGCACTCCTTTGTAAGGAGACTTGTGTACGCCACTAGAGACGGCCGTCGGAGCGATCATCCTCAGCTTCCTGGCGCCTGTCTGAGACAAGGCTAAAGCTACGTCACTTTCTTTTTTGCTTCGGTCAAAACGACTTTCCGAAACTGTGGAGGGATTATAAGTATAGCGTTTTGGCGAAAATAATAGACGAGGAGGCTCGTACTATGCGTTTATAACCTAATGAAGTACCTAGAAGTTTTCCAGATGACATGCAAATGTTCACCTGCTTATTCATCAAAAGCGAATGGTTGATGAGCCGCAAAACACCGTAAAATAACACGAGCTTGACCGAAGATAGACTTGCGATAACATACCATAACATGTGATAATGCTACATATATATATATATATATATATATATATATATATATATATATAACCTATCTATCTATCTGTCTGTCTGTCTGTCTGTCTGTCTGTCTGTCTGTCTGTGTCTGTGTCTTTCTCTGTGTCTATTTATCTATCTGACTATCCATCTATCTATCTATCTGTCTGTATTTCTATTCATCCATCCATCAATCTATCCATTTAGCCATCTCTATTAATGATGCACATGCTGATGATGTCCCTTCTGTCAGTCCACTTATTCAGGTCACTACTGCAGCTATGCACTCAATAGGTTAGGTAAGGTTTTTTTTAGCTACACTTGATTTGCGGTTAAATGTATCCAAAACAGCTTTCGACCCTCACGATGGCCTTGCGACACAACATCCATTTTCCACGTTTACAATGGTCATATAGCAAATGTTCACCGCCTCGCCGGCTACGCCTCACGGAGATCCCGAGTAAAACATGACTCCATAGCGTTCACTCCCGGGATGTCGAGCTGCCCCGCCACCAGTGTTGCGACTGAGATGGCTGACCAGACGCCTGACGCGCGGGACCAGCAGCCGCGGCGGAGAGGGAGGGGGGGGGGGGGGGGGGGGCGGCAGCGTCGGCGACGCAGGCCGCGCTCGGAGGAGCTAGTGGTACTCATGAGTCGGAGACGGCGGGAGGCCCGGTCACGGCTAGTGGTCTCAGCGGCTGGCGTCAGATACAGATAAAGGTACAGATACAGATACAGATACCATGACAGAGGAGGGTCGGGGAGACGTCGCTTTTTGTCATTTACATTCATCAGTCATCAGCTGAGGTAACACAAATTAGAGTAGATAAAGCGTGATGCTTATCGTTCATAACGGTTACATAAATATCCCATAGAAATAAACAAACAGAATGGACGCTTTCACATCTCTTTGAAAAGACATCACATTCGCTTTCATGCACATCGATTTCGCTTTGATGGAGCTAAGATCAGCACGGCTGCGAACGCTGCGGCGCCTCAAATCGCATCAATCATCACAGCCAACAGGCACAGAGCAGCATTAATTCCGACAGCCGAGTGGCAAACAAACACTAAGTGTTACGGATGGCTGGATCCGAGCGTCATATGTTTGGCGGAGCCTCTTTGGCTGTGCGCGAACAAGCCATCTGTAGGGTTTTACAATTTCCGGCAGCCCTCCTCCTAGTACCGTCTCCGGCCTCCCCACAACATCCATCACACGGCAGCACCTATAACCGCCCCCGCCCCCAGCGGGAGGCCTGATACGCGCCCGCTAACCGCGCCGGCCCTCGCGGCTATCCTCACAGCGGAGGAGCCCTCGCAATAAAAAGGCACGCGCGCGGACACCACGGCATCTTTATTGGGGTAGGCCCGGAGGGTCTGGAGATGACGAACGCTACGCCGGATACGCAGTTACAGGGATGGACTTCGTAAAAAGTGCTGGGGGGGGGGGGCTATATTTGGAAGGAAAAAAGGTCAAGAACTTCTCTTGGGCTCCTCTCCAGTGCTTTAGCATCGGGGTTGAGGTAGTACTACGGCTCCGAGCTCAAAATCGTGGGAGGGGGTGGGGCGGGCGGGCGGGGAGGGGGGATGCGAACATGCTCCTTCAAAGAGGTACGAAGATCCACAGAAGAATGTGATGTTCATGCATAAATAAAAAGCTGAATGCAGCTTGGAGCTTGATGGCGTTGTTTTGAGCCAGGTGACTAAGTCACAGTATGCTTTTCATTTGCTGCAAAACAGGTGACAACACAACGGGCACTTGCACCTTTAAGTCATGGGCCCGGTATAAAACACCCGACTGACATTGCTCATTGCAATGATCAACTAATCCAACTTATCTGCCCCTCGCGGCGCGCACGCTGTTCACATTAGGCGACTAAACCGAAAACGTAACTGCCACGACACAGCACACTCCCAGACATGCCACACCAACTGTGCTGCGTCCTTCCAAAGCCCCCTCTCTGTCTCACCCCCCGCCTCCAAGCTGTGTGCGCGCTGTGAGGGTTGGCCCGTGCCCAGCCTGTGCGGGTACTCACCATGAAGAGCCTTTAGGTACGCCTTCCCGGCGGCTATCAGCTGGCGCGCGCCTGGGTTAAACTTGTCCAAAATGTTCTGCAATAGGCGACGATGCATTAGCACCGGGACACAACACGTGCAGCAGCCAATGTATCGCTGCGAGAGCTCGACAACGTTGTTTATGGCACGCGCGACGCAAACGTGCCATACCAGGACCATTGAGCCTTTGTGCCTACGTAAGCTGACGACTATTCAGGATCACATCAAAGGTATTCAAGGCACATCGTGCTGAGGTCCATAAACTCTGCATTTGTGTGTCATCGTACAACGCATTTTTCAAAAATACTGCGTTTGAGTGAGTTATTACCCATTGTCGAGTAAACATTCTTGTTCTGATCTACCCCGCCCCCAGCAGCACCTGACCCGACCAGGGGCGTAGTTTCACGAAATGGGTTGCGGAGGAGGGGGCTGAACAGTGTCAGGTTCCTCCCTAGTTTTGTCCCACTTTCTTCCCAAAGTCGCGGAGGAGGGGTTACAACTTCGGCCGCCCAAGTTGGGTCGCTGAAGTCCCCCCCCCCCTCCCAACAGAAATGGATACCACGCCCCTGGACCCGAGCTTCCCAGGCTCGCTCAAGTCGGCTGCACGAGTCACTGGCAAATGACAACATTTACGTTTGGCTCTATCTAATGCATCCAAAAAGACATTTTTATAGTCCAAATGTTAGCCGCACACTCCGCAAACAAAATTTCAAAAACCCTTAATTTCCCTTGCGGACCCAATGGCCTACCCACGATCTGCTCCGTCTCCAACTGACCGGAGACGAATCGACTTTGGGTCGGCTGATGGCTCGGACCTCGCCTCAGCCGGCTGTGACGTCACTGAGTCTGGGTGCGGCGACAGAGAGTCGGCGAGAGTCCCACCGCCATCCCGGATGGCATCCAGCGGCCACCGCCGCCCGCGCCGCCCGGTAATGACTTTGTTGGACCGCGAGCCGCCCGGCCGGCGCCGACAGCCAAACTTTCCACACCGGTGTGACGGTGCCGCGAGGCGGCCGTCCGAGGCCGAGCCCGGCCGGGATCCGGCCAGCGGAGGGCTGCGGTGGCGGGCGGCCGTCCGAGGCGGGGCCCAGCCGGGATCCGGCCAGCAGCGGGAGCCGGGACCCGGCCAGCAGCGAGCTGCGGTAGTGGGCGGGCTCCGCGGGGTACGCGGAGAATCCGCAGCTGACGGACGTCCGCCGCGGGGCATGTGAAGCACACGCCGCTGACGGACACCCGCCACGGGGGGCTCCGCACAGGTGATAGGCCCGGCACCGTGGCGGGGAAGGCGGTGGCGCGTTGACAGACAGGCGAGAAGTGAGGTTTGACGGGGCAAATTGGAGAGCCTGCCTCCTACTAGTGCCCCAGGTCAAGTCGTTTGGCGCTGTCACTTCGCCGGCGCGCCAGCATACGGGGCACTGCTGCGTCCGGCCCAGACATCCGCCGACAGCTGTTCGTACTCACTCTCGTCGGCCGCATTGAGGCGAGAACGCCGCAAAGGGACCAGGCCGCGCTGTAATTGCCGCCGCCGCGCTGATAATCGCCGCGGCGGGCAGGATAAAAGTAAACCCGCTGCCGGCGGCTCTGGCGCAGACGCGCCGGAATCGGAGCACGGAAAGTGATCGGGGCCGAGGCGCGCCAAATTAGCCGCCACTTGTGCCAGTTGACAGCGGCGACGCGCGCCACTGTCGCCGCACAACTCCCATGGCTGCCGGCTTCCGCGCGGTAATCACCATGGCAACAACGAGGAGTGCACCCGCCGCGGGAGCTGTGGGCTGCGCGGTGACAGCTGCTGAGGATGTGCTGGACGGCGCGGTACTGCTACGGTGATGTCCAGCGTGCGGATAACTGACCCCTGGGGTGCATCGGACAAGTGCGGCACGTGGCGTGCCAGTCTCGTGCGATGCATCGCTGATACAGTCAAGATCCCAATTTAGATATCTCTGAGTGGAATATCTGCATGAGCGGGTCATTTTTCCGCCCAATTACCCGCAAAATTACACGTTAAGCGTAAACAAGGCTGCGGCCGCCGAGTGCGCGTGTCTCTGCGATAGAACAAGCAGCATCTCTTCAGCTGCCGGAGTTGTTGGTCGGCCGAACTAGGAGCACCTAGCCCAACACGGGAGCAGCGTACTCGAACCTCAGTACCAGTCTGAACGGGCCATGCCTGTCCGAAGTCCCGGGCCCTCCGCTGGTGCCGGTGCAGTGGTCGCATTCCTTCTCGCCGGGGTGCCACCGGCAGGTACGCGGCGTTTATTGACTTTGTAATAAGGCGGCGGCTCTCACGGAAACCGGAGCCGGGCCGATCAGCGCCGCGGTCCGCGGTGCCGACTGCGGCCGTTGCCGGCGTTCCCAGACGGCCGGCAGTGCCAGCGCAGGCTTCCGGCTCTGTTCAAGGCTCCGCCGCGGTACCGGCGCCGCTGCACTCCCCCCAAACCGCACCATATTACTGTGGGAATGCAAATTTGACCAGCTGATGACCCAGATGTATCCAGCGAGCTGAGGTTCGAGGCGAGCAGCTTGTGCTGTCGGCGCGATTGGTTGAATTTGGTTGAAATGGGGCTGAATAGCCTCTGTCGAATCAATCCAGATGTCCCGGCTGTATAATGATCACAAGAGCTGATGTCCCGACTGTATAATGATCACAAGAGCTGATGTCCCGATTGTATAATGATCACAAGCTGCCAATGAGCTGCCTTCTCTTCACATCACTGATGATTCAGTCTTCTTCGGCATATCCCAAGCGTATATACTTAAACCCATCGCTTAGGGTCTCCTCTTCACGGGTCTAAACGTGCGCATATTAGTTAATCAACGCCGAAAAAGCTTTACAGTGAAATTGAAATGACGCCATACAAAGCTCACTCATTGGGATGATGAATATGAATTGAGCCTTCACTAATTCACCAACCATTAATCACGTACAGACCAGTCAAAACCTGCCGTGCTTTGACTGCCGCGAAGGAACGGTCGGCTGATACAAACGGGTTCAAGGAAGTAGAGGGATGACAACACCCCAAAGGAATGCGGCGCATGACTTGTATTTATCTTGGTTCGGCTTTGACGTCATTACCTACGATAATTCACGGCGTGACAGTGTCGCGTAAGCTTCCTGCAGAGATTTCCGTCACCGGCCTGCAGTGTGACGGGAGTCTCCGTGACGTCCCGCACTGGCTCACAGCGCTGTCACGAATCCCCAGGAGCAAACATGGGCCTGGAGCCCCAGACAGATCACAGGATCCCCTGAACATGAAATCCATGAGATCTTGGATTCACCCATGGGATCCAGGCACATGTCTGCGGCCATGAGCTTCCGCATCGGCCAGCAGTGGGACCCGCTCTGCTGGTTCTCGTCTGGCGACCGGCTGGGTCTGGCGGCCGTTTGCGTCTGGCGACCGGCTGGGTCCGGCGACCGTTTGCGTCTGGCGACCGGCTGGGTCCGGCGACCGTTTGCGTCTGGCGACCGGCTGGGTCTGGCGACTGGCTGACCCGGGGAGGCCTGTCCAGCCGCCGTTCCACCGGGCGTGTTAAGCGGATCACGCCGGCCGTGCCGCGCCACGGACCGCTGGCCACCGACTGACCGGGGCCGACTGACCTCTGCCCCCCCCCCCTCCCTCCGCGCTCTCGTCCGGGTCGTCACGGCACTAACTGTCACGCCTGGCGTAGCCGGCGCGGCGGCTCATCCGCGCCCGTCTGGCCAGCGGGGAACGGCACGCGACGGTGGCCAGGGCGACGCCGGTGTAAAGGTACGCCACGCGGCTACGACCCCCGCTCCATCACCCCTGCATGCTGCCGAACTGAATACCACGGTCTGCCTGTTGTTTGCTCTCGACTCACGCAAGTTTTGGCTGAGTTTACCCTGGCAGCGCCGAAGTGTGGTTTCGTAAGAGACAGAATTGCGAAGATACTAGCCCAAGCATTGCTTGAATCATGTTCAAGAATGACTGCCTCGAGCGAAGATCCCGGGCCTTGAAAAAGGATGGCTTGTTCTTATCTCTCGTATCGCCGGGTTTCCGGCTGCGGCTTGCGACACCAGACATCGAGGTGTACGAGGTGTACCAGAGGAGCTCGTCTGCCCTCTAACGCCACCACAATCTTCAAATGATTGCATAATGGGGCCAGGCTTTATTTCGTGCAGCACTGCGGGGCCTTGCAAGCGGCCTTGCCATCGCTGTTATCTGCTATGCGATTGTGCAACCTCATGACAGGCTTAAAGAAACAAACAAAGCCGGAAATGCTTCAGATCCGGAGGGTACGAGCAAGCACCAGGCACCTGCCACCAATGCCAGGTTTAACAGCACTGGTATCGAGGTCCATCCCTCCACTGATGATTGGACCGCATAAAGGTATCAGATTACTGATAGCATCGAAGCCGTTTGCCCGCATTGCCTCCAGCGGCAAGATATTCCATTACACTGCCGCGCATAATGCGAAACCGGGTTGGTCTCAGCGGCTCCGGTGAACATGACCGAAGCGCTAGTACTACGGTCAGATGGCCCCAGTTGCGCCCCCACCACCGCCACCCCGGACCCTATCAGCAGTCCAGCTGCGGTGCACCTCATTAGTCAGGCGCCGTCCGCCACCCGGTCAAAGGTCACAAGGTCAGGGGTTCGAGTCGCCGCCCGTCCGCTTCCAGCTGCTGTACTTGTCCTACTGAGGGACGCTTGGACGGCCGCGAGGCGTTCATAGCCGCGCGGTTAGCGGCTGTTATATCGCCTGAAACGCTGTGAGCAACTACCCGGCATTTACAGTCATCAGTCAGTAATCTCCCGGCGTTTATTGGTCTGATAGCTGTTCTGTTATTGAGCTGCCGCGCCCGGTCTCCGCCCGGTCTCCCGATGCCAAGGCTAAAGTACACACTGGATGAAGACGTCCTCTAGCGCTATTAGTGCTGTTTTCTGACAACATTTTTGCGCAAGCTTCGCATTAACGATGTGGCAAAACAGCCGAAGCGTTGTATGAATGTTGGCATCCTGACAGAAGGACTCGAAGGGGACCCTCAGGCCTGCCTCCCGCGTGGCAGAGCCGACATTTCACCCCTAAGGCTTTTATGTAGGCGA